TAATAAAAACAAACGAAAATTATTTTCCTACACTTTAAAGTGTGCTCTTTCACATAAGATTAGTTTTACCACTTCATTTAACGCTTCATACTTCCGCACTCTGGTGTACCGTTAGCTGGCCAAGCTGTTAGGTCTCTTCTTATAAATTCTATAACTTTGCAACGAAAGGTCGTGTAGAGCTGAGAGATGTCTCAAATTAATCAGAAATGTACGAGCTACAATTATGCCTCATTAAGAAAGGTTTTAGTTATCTTTTAGAGTTTCTGAAAGACTGTTTTTTCAGAAAATCGGTTTCTGGAGGTCTAGACGCCCAAACTACTATGATATTCGGTTTCATCGTCAGTAAATTTCTATATCTCATACCGAGAAAAAGTTTTAATATCATGTTTCAAACATGACACTACTTTTCATTCATTGGTCAAAAAGAATGAATGAAAAACATGTCAAAGGAACCCATAAAATCATCACAGTGTCACGGTTGAAACGTGACGCTATCCCAGATAGCCATGGTGTAAACAGTGTCATATTTCAACGATATCTTTGCTCCGTGACATTTTTATTGCAGTATTAATGCTGCCGCACATATACGAATTCAACAGAAGCTGGTGTTTCTGTTTAAACAGAAATAGAACTAGAACTTTTTCTAAGCCAAAATTTTTAATATATATTTTATTGTGAATTTGAATTATAATATATTCGTTGAAAATTCTTTGTAAAATTCTTTTTCGTGTGTGTATTGGTGTGCGTTCGTAACTGTTGATGTTGTTGTGTAATGTGTTATGAGGATTAATGTTATTATTACCCTAGTAAGTTGTATTTGAGAACGATAAAACGCAAATAAATACATAAGTCAGTAACATATGTCGTTTCTACTTTATTTAAGAAAGAAAAAGAAAAATTTCATCAGTTGGTGTAACGTTTAAATAACTTGAACAATTCTGATAAAATACTTGACCAAACTTAGCAGTGTCATGTTTAGTATAAAATATTACGTCTGAACTATGCCTTTGGCATGTTTGCTTCCTGATATTTTTTTCATCCTGCATGTGAGACACGTGTTAAACAACGTATTTGTAATGAATATTCAGATTCACTTTTAGATTGTACTATATTCTCTACACATTCCTATTGTATCATTATTCAAATAGAGAGACTGTAATTATATTAATTTATATCCTATAATCCTCTATTATAATTATAAATCATGCTTTCAATTCAATCATTATTAATTCCTCGATTACTCTCATCTATTGTAATTCGATTTCGTTCAATTGGATTAATAATATTCAATTTCCTTTTGAATATTTTTGTGAACCGTTTTACAATACTATATCCTTTAATTAAATTTATTGGTCAATATATTCAATTATTTTTGGGTATTATTACTGGAAATCATTCTAGTTTAGTTAATATTTCAGATGGTGATTTTAGTATTGGAACAAACGCTTATCAATTATTTAATCAAAAGAATAATAATAAAGATTATAATAATCCTGATATTCATGATATATTTCATATATATTTATCTAAAATATTATATGAATCATCTGATCGAATAAAAGAACAATGTATAGATTGGGGATTTAATGAAGAATTAATTGAAATATTAACTTATGAATCAACAGATGTAAAAAAATATTTATATTCAACAGAAGCAGCTGTAATTAATCATGATGAATCAAATACAATTATTATTGCATTTCGAGGAACAGAACCAATGGATTTATTAGAATGGATGACTGATGTTTCAACAAATTTCATTGATATTGATAATGTATTTAATGATATGAATAATAATAATAGTAATGATAATAAAATTCGAGTTCATGCTGGATTTTATTTTGCATTAGGTTTAGATGCATTTGATCCGTCACAACCAATTGATTTCAGTAAAGTCACTAAAAAAACACCAATGTTTATTCAATTGTTAAAGTATATACAAAAATTTGATCATGATGGTAATAAATGTAATATATCGATCACGGGTCATAGTCTTGGAGCTGGATTAGCCTCATTATTTAGTTTTGTTTTATTAGCCTATGGTTATGAATCATCCATTTCTGCTGTTTATACCTATGGTCAACCATTAGTAGGCAATCGTCGTTATGCAGAAATATTAAATAATAAATTGGGAAATCGAATTCATCGATGGGTAAATCACAGTGATGTTGTTACACGTATTCCAGTAATTGAATTACCATCAATTGCATGGTATTATGCTCGAACACTATATTCAGATGCATTGGAAGGTGCAACAAATAATAATCAAACAAAATCTAATCCATCCTATAAACTTTATTATCATTCAGGATTAAGATTTAAAATTGATCGTAAAGGAAATTTAATAAGACAAAATTTAATAGATGAAGGACCAATACTTGCATGCGAAGATAGATTTGATTTATTTCATTTCATTTATTCAATTGGTAATGTAATTGATTCATTGTTCAACATAACACCTTTAAGAAGCTTTTTATGGTTGACTGGTCCTGTTGAAATAAATGATCATTTTCCTGGTGATTATGCAAGAAAAATCAAAAAGATTGTCACAAAAAAATAAATGAACAGTCAATACTAATGAGAATACAACTCAATAATAATGCAAAATGGAAGAGAACCGACCATTTAATACTTATGATGATCATAATCTGACTGTTAATATTCAATTTTTGGTGTAACGTAACTGATGTTAATGTGTAGTAACTGTTATGAAGCTAGGACGTTGTTCGATTCGATTCATCATTGTACACATACATTTTTATAAACATTTGTTCAAAAGATTTTGAAAATAATAAAAAACTTTTTAAATTCTGTTCTAGTATTATGTGGTCATGAAATTAAAGATATTTGCAAGTATAAATGCTGTAGAAATATGTATTGGTAGTAGTTATCGAGCAAGTACTGCAGCAGTAAGGTGTAACTTCTGCTGCATCTAAGAAATCGAGAAACTTTTTTGCCTTCTTTTGCTATAAACAGGTGCCTATCTAAGGAGATAAACCAATGAAAACTTGTAATAATTTCTAAGTGTAGCCTCCGTAAGGCAAAGCCAGTAGTTGCTCAGTAAGTACTGATACTGACTTACTCAAAGGGGAAAAAGCAGCACTAGTGCTGAAAAAAGTGCTGAACGTTATAAGATAGTCAAGTGTGAGAGTTTGTGCTTCTTCATATTCAAGATGGTGGAAGGTCAGATATTCGAATCTACCTAAATCACTTTTTTTTTCAAATTTTTGTTCTGTTCTCATTGGATTTCAATTACTTTTTCCATGGAGAACCTATATTCATCTTTTTTTTGTGACACCATCACTCGAACCAGAAAAGATTCACATGAAAACATCGATTAATTCCAGTCAGATTGAGTTTATTATCAAATAACACACAAGATATTTTTCTTTTGTCATATTTGTTCAAGGGGGAAAAGGCGACTTTTTCTTTCTTAGTATCGGAGAGCATGGCTCAGCATCGCGTAGCATCGGAGAGTATCCGATGCCAAGCATCTCAAGCTCCAGAAAGCATTTCAGGGGCCCGGAAAGCTCCTGGAGCCGCCTTTTCCCCCTATTATTTGTTCACCACACAGCTTCAGTGTCCCTGCAATTATGCATACTTTTTCATCGGATTCTAAAAGTACAACGTCTTTTGTATCTGTATTTGTGGTAACTCTACTCATCCCCACACCCGTAAACCATATGACTTTTTAATAAATAACCACCGTCATTTTCTATTTAATAGAAAAGTTAAGAAAAACAAAAAAATATCAAAACTATCTATTACAACTGATCAAGCATAACAACCATCATCATTACCCGACATTAACTAGTGACACAAGATTCGTTAATCAACAACTTATAACCTTGGAAACTCATTAAATACCGTCTGTTCAGCACTTATATGTATTCTAAGATCAAATGCATCTTAAATTCTTCAGTTCAAATTAAACTCATATTATTTAACGACAAGTGTTCTATTTCTCATACTATTTATCATTACAAATAATTTCTGTCTAATATCGTTCTAGATAAAACAAAACCTTCGTGACGATTGATATCTTGAATTACCAAAGCAACAGCAAATCGAGGCCAATGTCAGCCAAAAAACTGAACCACGCCAAACTCGGAACTTGCTATAACGATTGCCACGAAAGCTATTCTCCATATTTTAAAATGATATTATCATTATATTACTTTGTTTCTAAAATTTAATAATAGAATAAATTCGTTTCTTGTGATTTTTCGAAATCATTAGGGTTATTACCATCTGATAATTCCTTTTGTCGGGATGAAATTCAGATTATGGTAGCTGTTCTCACCCTCACCCTCAAGATAGTCAAAGTCAGGAGCAGTTCGTAGTCGAAAAGTTAGTTTTTTAGAAAAAAGATTCGGTCCCTATCTATTGTAGTTTTTATAGAAAGAGAAGCATTGCAACGAGCCAGCGATGGTCAACCGTTCTATATGTCTGTCTCAATTTACCTCAACATTGGCGATCCGAGTGAGCATGGTCGGCGGGATATCGCCGCAGCTTTGAAGTGTTGAGTGCTCTCGAGTTGAAAGTATCATAGAATCGGTAATCATGTCTCGGATTACATACATCTAAGTTATGCATTTTTAAAGTTTTTCCTAAAAGCGTAAAAAACTCGAGTCGTTAGTTTCATAAACTTTTCTCTCTTTTTCTGTACGTTCAAAATTTTTCTTACACATAGTCCGATAGAAGAAAGTGCTTTCTTCACAATGAGACGTCTCCCAGGATTTTCCGATGAGTTTTCGTGGAGATATAAGCATTGTGAAAATGCCCTGAAAACAGTCGCCTGTGTACAAAATGCGTTTTCTTCGAAAACTATTTTTTTGCTACCAGGCTTCATTGTGCCACATTACGACCTCCCTTAAATTAAACGAGTTTTCTGAAAAATTGGTGAACGGCAAAGGTTGAAAACTTGAAACAAAAACGAAAAAAGCGCTCCATTGAGTTTGTGCCAAAGAGTTACCAAAGTATTGATGAAGTAAAATGCGAAGAAGGAGATGACATTACAAATTATCCAACTCAACGTCTCAACAGCCTGACTCCATCTGGAATACAACAAGGTCATCAATCTAATACCACACATCACAGCCACTGCTTCAGAAACATTACTTTCTTTCTATTTCTAGCGATGGCAGTTTCCAATTCGACTGGCATTTGCAATGATAGTAAATAAGTCAGGCCGATAGAGATTTGATCGAGTTGGATTATTACTGCCTCGACCAGTGTTCACACACGATCAAATTTATGTTGTATCTGCACGTGTACTTTCTGCTTCCTCTATAAAAGTCTAGGACCTATCTAAAAAAAGTGGTTTAAGCAATTCTAATACAAAAAACCACATTATGTTTAATTGTTTAGCATGGTTTATTAAAAAATCTGTTATTAAAGACTTAGTAACCTTAAAAGCTTGACAACCTTTCCTTGCAATTTTGCACGGGACCCGCTAATTCCTTGAATAGTCTTCTGCATTGTGTGTATGACTGGGTGTTCATGATGAAACATACTTTCATACATATGCAAGCCACTTGTACAATAATCCAGAGCTCGAGCATATTCGCCCTTCGACTGGTAAGCCAGACCAATATTATAGAGAGTGTCAGCAGTCCTGTTATGGTTTGGAGGAAGGCAAATTTCTTTCATTTTGAGAGATTTTATGAAGTAATCCAGAGCTCGACCATATTCGCCCTTCGATTGATAAACCAGACCAATATTATTGAGAGTGTCAGCGGTCCTGACATGATTCGGAGGAAGGCAAATTTTTTTCATTTCGAGACTCTTCAGGTAGTACTCCAGAGCTCGATCGTATTCGCCCTTCGATCGATAAACCATACCAATATTGTTGAGAGTGTCAGCGGTGCTGTCATGATTTGGAGGAAGGCAAATTTCTTTCATTTTGAGAGATTTCATGTAATACTCCAACGCTTGATCATATTCGCCCTTTGAGTCATAAACAATGCCAATATTATTAAGAGTGCCAGCGGTCTTGTCATGATTCGGGGGAAGGCAAATCTCTTTCATTTTGAGAGATTTTATGTAGTACTCCAACGCTTGATCATATTCGCCCTTCGATCTATAAATGCTACCAATATTTTCGAGAGTGGCAGCAGTACTGTCATGATTCAGAGGGAGGCAAATTTTTTTCATTTGGAGACTCTTCATGAAGTGTTCCAGAGCTAGATTATCTTGACCCCTTAAACCATAAACCATACCAATATTATTGAGCGTGGTAGCGGTACTCGCGTGATTCGGAAGAAGGCATATTTGTTTCATTTTGAGAGATTTTATGTAGTACTCCAGAGCTCTATCATATTCGCTCTTCGATTGATAAATCAGACCAATACTATTGAGGGTGTCAGCGGTTCTAGTATGATTCGATGGAAGGCAAATTTCTTTCATTTCGAGAGACTTCATGTGGTACTCCAGAGCACGATTATATTCGCCCTTCGAGTCATAAACACCACCAATATGTGAGAGAGTGTCAGCAGTACTGGCATGATTCAACGGAAGGCAAATTTCTTTCATTTCGAGAGACTTCATGTGGTACTCCAGAGCTCGATCATACTCGCCCTTCGAACGATAAGCTACACCAATATTATCCAGAGTGTCAGCGGTACTGGCATGATTCGGAGGAAGGAAAATTTTTTTCATTCTGAGAGATCTCATGAAGGACTCTAGAGCTTGATCATATTTACCTTTAAAATTTTGAGCTCGACCTATATTGTGATAGATTGAAGCTACATCTTCGTCGGCAGCTGAGTCAGTCAAAAGTTTCTCAAAATAGTTTTGTGATTTGTCATAGTGTCCCATATCAGCAAGCAGACGCCCGAACATGATCGAAACACTGACAGTTCTCTCATCAATATCTTTTTTGTTTAGTTCGATATACTCTTGTGCGATTTGGGCTCCCTCATTTGTTGCTTTCAATCTGATATGCCACAGATTAAGCTTGTCTTCAAAGTGAATCGATTCGATTCGAAAGGCTGCTCCTAGATCAAACAAAACTTCTTGTTCTTCAGGGAAATGACTCAATTCAGTTATATCAGCGAAGATGATGTCGCTTGATTCTCCTGTCATATAGCATTGAATATGAAATAGTACGGAAAATACACCAGTCCTTTTCGTCGGCTTACGCGCAAAACGTAATGCCAGTTCACGAGAACGACTAGTTGATAAAAAGCCGTTCATTGATATTAATTTGCCTTCATTTGCTTTGAGCTTTTCTAGTTCAGCATTGGGTAATATGTCTCCTCGATACACATTAATGGGAGCTTGACCACGTTGGATTCGTTGGCTTTCCTTACCAAGACAAGAGGAGAGATTCGAAATAAAAAATCGGAATGTGTATAGCTGTTCGATTTCTTCTGTTCGAAGGGCTTTGTTAATGAGTTTATAAATGAAAGACTCCTTTGTGTACCATCGAATCGAGTCATCAGGTTTATATTCCTTTTCAAATTCTTCAACATATTTCAGTTCCTTACTGTTTCCACGATAATAGTCTCGACATATTCTAATCATTTCTTGTTTCGACTTTTCGGTTTGAGGCATTTTCAGAATAACATCTTTAAATAATTGAAACCAGAGAAATGCTGCTGATTCTTTGGATAAATCACGAGTTGAATTTTGGTTTTCCTTGTAGAAACAAAATGTTTGTGTGTGTTTCTCAACGAGTTTAGCATTTTCTTTGATTGAATCGATAAGCGGTGATAGTTCATTGAATATTCCAATGATCTTCGAATATTCATTGAGTAGATGTTCATATTTTTGTGTTTTCATGCAGAATACGAATATTGAATCAATGTGTTCTAGATCATGTACAAGCGGTAGAATGTCTGTTGAGCAGGCTCCTGAGATGATCAAAAATATCTTTT